GGGTGGACGGGGTGGGTTTCCCCTCCACCCGCATTAGTTTGGCCAGCCGCGAGGGGGCGGCGTCCGCGTGTGCCGGACGTCGCCTAAAGAGAGGAACAAAAACATTGAGACGGAGCCCGCACCAGGAGCGGGCTGGCGCTAGGAGGGGTCCGGATGTCTTAACAACAGCTGTTCCCGGATCCCTCCTGTTACAGGCGCAGAGTGGCACACCGTGTGGTTTTAGTCGGTCCGAGTCCAACACACCACCCCGCCGCAAACCCCGGAGGGGTGACGGTCCGAGGGGATTTCCACACGTTAAAAAAAAAAAAAAAAAGGGTTTGTTTCAAGTTTTCCTTCTCTTTGAAGTGCTGTTGTTCTGCGTAGTTTGTTCCCTTACTCGGCTTTATTACAACGGCGAGAAGACGACTGGAAGTTTTACCAAAAGAAAAATTTCCTTAAATTATATATGTGTAAGCTGTGCTGTTTACTTATTTATTTGTTAAAGCTACTATTTATTGTGGGCCCAGTTTTCGTGGTAAGTCAATTCAAATAATAGATATGCTATCCTAAGCTACTATAAACGATAAACCATTCCTACCATGCATTACCTTCTCAACTTTCAATTTTCCTTTTCTTAATTTCCAGTTGACTGGAATAGGTTTATTTAAGTGTGATTAAAAATATAGTTCGCAAAATACCCCTCTGACTAGTCCTTTGGTGATATATGCGCTAATTGAATTTATCAATGTAAAAAAAAGTACGAGTATACTAACCTACTTTGTTTACCCCATTAGCTCTGTCTGCGTTCGGCTAATAAACTCGTGCATTTTTAAATATAATGCTGAAATTATATCTAAAAGCTTTAAGTCATAACTTTTCACTTGAGACTTACCGAATTGAACTCCATTTATGTACAATAAATGGTTGTCTATAATCGTAGCTTATATTACAAATATCAAAGAGTTTGTTTGTAACTATGATACACATTCACGCCTTAACTACTCGACCAACTATCAGGAGCATTAAATGCACACGTTAGCATACACGTTGACAGGGTCACCAAAAAGGATAACAGATAAAGGCATCATGCCTTTTCAAGTTACCCTCAAGAACCCCGGAAGACCTAGACGGCTACACCATAACCTGGTAACCAATCCCCCAAACCAGTGATAATGAAAGACGGTGATTATTCTATTTTACTAATTAAATTGTCATTTTATGATAAAATCCGTTTCTGAGGGACACTGTTGATTCACATTTATTATTATAGCAAAGTTATTTAGATGCTTTATTAATTAGTTGTAGGGAAAATCAAAAGCATTCAATAATTTATCTTTTAATACTTGGAATTAGGAGTAATTACTCAGTATTGTACAACTCCACTTCAATAAGGTCCAATGAGTATCTAATGCTATGTCGATTATTAAATTTCTCTTTTTTAAATAAATTTTAAAATCCAATATCTTTAGGTATTTACTTGTGAACTTAAATGCATGAAATATATTTAAAACTGATACTTTATATCAGTTTTAATTTCTTATTAGCTTTTATATACCAAGCAAATAGATATGCGTTCTAGGACTTACTAGTAGTCTCTCAGCTAAATCGGGTACAGACGAAAACACATACGTACTTGGCGGTGGCACTATGTTAGAAGTACTAAACGTTAAAACACACTGAATAATAATATCAAAAGCTACAGAAATGCATAAGAAATACTTAATTGAGAATGTCCTTTTAAAGATACCGCGGCATTAGGTATGTTAGGATGGCTCAACATAGAAAAATACTGTTCCTAAGGGTTAGTGAGTTGATTGTCAAAATATAAATTGAAGAGAATCAAGCCAAGGGTAAAATATAGTAAATAATAGTGTTTTACACCCTTAATTAAAGCTCATAGAACATTATTCCAAAAGTAGTGCCTCTTCTACCCAGTTAATTTAGAAGTAAAAACACATTTAATTTGTTCTCTACAGATTCATTGCTCGTTCTAGCTTAACAGCAAAGTTTCGTTTCAAATAGATACAGCAATGGACAACTAATATATAGACTAAACCGAAGCTAAAAAAGCTTTCGTGGTAGGTTATGTACGGGCAGGGTGAAAGTCGTAAAGGCTCGGTACCTCTTCAAAAGACGTATAAATTTATTAGCGTATGTGACCGCGTCTTATAGGGCTCTGAACCCGGTGCTCAGTTTTTGCTCGCTTTAAACATATTGAAATAATAATAGTAAAGGATGTCCATAGCATTTTAGACTATTGCAGTCAAATTTGGTCGCCTCAATATAATGTTTATATTGCGAGACTGGAAAGTCTGCAGCAGAGATTTGTGAAAATTCCTAAACTTTAAGTCTTCGAAACGTCATGTCTGGTATTCCATGGACTATAGACACTATCACCTTCTTCCTGTCGATGATAGACGTAAGATGTTGGATATTCTTCTATTCTTTGATATCCTGCGTGGTGATCATCTATCATGTATATAGTTCTGTACTCCGTAAGTGTCGTACCAGAAACACCGATCTATTTAACCTACTTACCGCACTAATTACGGTAAAAATGCTGTTATGACACGTCTATTTCGCATCTCTCTCAACTCTCTCATCTCTCTCAACTCTGAGAGAATAGATATTATTGTAGTTCAAACAAATCGCAGGTATACTTACTGGTCAGGTGATCACTGGGAAGGGATGTTTCGGAGATCACTTGTGTCTGATCCGCAAGGAGCCAACGCCTGAGTGCCACCACTGTGATGGCCAGACCGTGGACACGGCTCTCCACACGCTGGCAGAGTGCCCGGCGTGGGCTGAGCAGAGGCGAGACCTCGTGGCGGCCATCGGAGTGGGAGTTCTCTCGCTCGATAGCCTGATTGCGGCTATCGTGCGGAGCGAGAGTGCGTGGAACTCTGCCGTCTCCTTCTGCGAGCAAGTTATGCTCGCGAAGGAGACGGCGGAGCGGGACCGGGAGAGGTTTAGAACTCTCCCGGCCCGCCAGCAGCGCAGGCGACTCAGGCGCCGGAGGTCGCAGAACGACCTCCGTCCTCCATAAGCGCAGGCCTGGGGGTGACAGGTGAGGCCATCTGTCACCCTAGCAGAAGTAGGCCGGGGTGGCGTTGAGCGCGTTGCGAAGCGCGCTCGCTTCCAGGGAGCACAGGGAACATGGGGTTCCCACACGGGGCGGGGGTCGTCTACTCGTCTGTAGATGACCCGAGGTATGTCGGGGCACCAGGGCCTTCCTTTCTAGGGTATACCTGGTTCCCCGGCTATTAGTACCCGGCGAAGGCGTGCGGTTTTAGTCGGTTCGAGTCCGACATGCCACCGACAGGTGGTATCCGAGGGGATTTCCGCACGGAAAAAAAAAAAAAAAAAAAAAAAAAAAAGGTATACTTACTGGTAAATAGATAGAATGTTTATTTATTGGTTTGGTGTATTTTAATATAATTTAGTTTGATTTGATTTATTTTGATAAAAACTTTGATTGGTTTCATTTAAATTTAATTTGATTTGATTTAATGTATCTAATGTAATGTTTATTATTGTAATGCTATAACATTCTTTCCAGTTTAATATATAGTAAAGAATATCGTGAAACTCTTTAATTAGCCTAAGAATTTAATTTCTTGTAAATTATGAATGTATATTGTAAAAAAAGCTGTTGCTTTTCCAATAAATAAATACATAAAGGACAACAAGCAAAGGTTCTTACATCTGTTGTAAGTACATTATATTTTTATGAACACTGACGTCTAAACTAGGCCAAGCCTGTTTCTTAGACGCCAGTTTCTTCCTGTGACACAGTTCGTGCTAATCGTTACACTGTCCAAGATTACACAGAAAAAATAACATTAATTTTACAGAGATTCTGTGACTTGATTTTTTTTAATTTTTACGTTTTTGACTACAATTTGAGAGGTAAAAAGAATATGTGGATTGATATTTTAAAGCTGTTTTAAGTTTGGATTATGACTATGATTATTACTTGATGACTTTGAAGTATGTGATATGTCTCTTTCTCTCTCCCTCTTTCTCTTTTTCTCTCTCTATTTCCTACAATAAGTGAGACAACCCCCTCCTACTCTGCCTCTAATTCCTTACTAAAAGAGACCACAGCAAATGATAGAATGATATGTAGTTTCTTTCGGTTTGAGTCCGATACACCAACTTACCAATTGATTTTGGTGAGGTTACGACCTGTACGGTTTTCAACATAAAAAATCAAGATTTTCAGCTATGTTCATGTGAGCTAGATACATTAATGTTAATTGTATATATTTCACTTTTTAGTCATAAATGTGTATTCATAACCGAGTTTATACAAGCATTATCAAATTTGTTATTGTTATTGCAGCCCGTTATTGCCAGTCTATTCACGATAATGTAAAATTGAAATATTAAATTAAAATTTTATTACTGTATTTCCATTAGGTTCATATATAATGACATATAATATGAAACCAAATAGATATCAACAAAAGCAGAACACGTCGAATCTTTTTTTTATGTTCGAGGGGGCAGACGAGCAGACGGGTCACCTGATGGAAAGTCACTATCGTCTGCAACTCAGGAGTCACAAACGCGTTGCCGGCCTTGACAAAAGGACAAAGATTGAAATTTGAAACGAGATTAGGTAATATTAAAGTAAATAATCGGACACAGTGTAAACTTTTTGGTACACTTTAGTCAGTCTATTTATGTCCACTGTTGGACATAGATCTTAACGCACATGGTAGCCGATTCTATGGCTCCTGCATACGGTACATCCCAGATAATTTTGTTAGGTTGTGAAACTATTTGGCTAAAGTGCGAAGTGTTGTTTCAAATAATCAATTTGGTATCTCCAAGCTATGAACTCTATACTTCATAAATCAGTTCTTCTGCAGATGCGGAATATGACCTTGAGTGAATGAAAATTGCTAAAAAAATTACTAAATCGTACTTTATTGCATAAAATTCAGACTTAGATTACTATACAACTTCTTAAAGTTTACATTGGACAAAATATACAGAATATGCTAGAAATTCTATCAACATTGACCATTACTAACAGCCTCCAAGATCAATTTACTTCCTTCTCTTCTGTCGACCTTGCCGGTATGCGTGTGAGGTAGGGAAGGTACGAAGACGATCCCGCCGTGGAGACGCTTGTGATCACTCAGTAACCCTGATAATAGAACAAACATTAAAAAACTATTTGTTATTTATTTGCAAAAAATGTGGTACATACACATCCATAAGGATGTTACATGGAGTACCTACTGAACCACACATTTCACCAATACTCATGCAAATTTTGCAGGTTCCTAAATATCACTTATAATGGGTTCTGAGATAACTAACACTAAAGAATTTCATTATTGTCATTTAAAAAAACATGTTACCAATCACACAGATATAGAAGTCATCATCATCACATCAACAGCCTATACTAGTCCACTGCTGGACATAGGCCTCTCCTTAGAAAGGAGGTTTTGGCCTACTATACCACGCTGGCCAGACGGGTTGGTATAGGGTTTGTTTCAAGTTTTCCTTCTCTTTGCAGTGCTGTTGTCCTGCTTAGTTTGCTCCCTTAGTCTTCTCTTACGATACCCACGGGATGAATTGGGATGGTGACAATTTGTATTCTTGATCCGTCACCACACGGACAGATATAGAAGTATCCAGACCTATTTCAAGGAGAGATTTATAGACATTGCATTTCTCACCATTGACGATCTTGTGAATTTGTTCTTTAGTGACTTTTGCATCGGGTCTTTTCACAACAGCAGCCGCTGGTCCGTTGTCTGTCGCGCAAACTAGGCTCTCGAGAACTCCTGGTACCGAGAATATTACACCTTCTACTTCTTCGGGTGACACCTGTTATTAATTTTAAAGTTTAACAAATGAAATCTGGTGGTAAAAACTTCCGGATGAAATAATACGTGTGGAAATTAATGTCTCTCGTACTTTTTCTTTACTTGTTCTAAGTCGTTATTTCTCGTTAAATATGAAATCTAGGATTCGACGATAGGTGTTGATATATATATGAAAAATAGGTATATACGATCAACTGGCCTATCTTTTTACTGGATTAACTTAAAAACTTTATTTTTACTTTATAAACAACTTGATATTTTATTCAAAGTACCTTACAAAAGGTAACTTGTCAGAGAGCAAGACAGACACCAAGATGATCTTATAATATAAAAAATATTTGAAGAACGGAACCCTAAAAACACTGTCACACACTATTTACTGGCAAACAAACCTGACATCCTCTGAATTTGAAACTGAACTTGATCCTCACAACGAAGGTAATTCTCTCGTTCTCGTCCACGTAGAATCTGTCACCGGTTTTATACCAGCCGTCTGACGTGAATGACTCCTTGTAACAGCTATCGTTCTTATGATATTTCTAGAATGTAATCATGAATATTAAATCAATCACAGAGGCACAAAATTCTATAGTAAGTCTCAACTTAGTTAAAAAGTTACTGTGCTAATGCATAGTAATGCTTTATTTTTTATTGTCGCCACGTGTACTGTCAGTCCTTTCATAACCATCAGCGCGGTAATTGTAGCAACCATAGCGTACTAAATTATTTTCATATGGTAAGTATCACACTTTATTGATTTCATCACATTCACTACTTTACCGGCTACATGAAATACCGTTCACTCAGTAGAAATATTTGAGATCTGATTCATAGAAATTGTGAAGTGGAAAAACTTATTATTTACAAATTTGTTTTTTTTGTAATGGAGGGCATATGTGCAGACGGGTCACCTAATAGAAAGTGAACGCCTGCAACTCAGCAGTAACAAACGCGTTGCCGGCCTTTTAGGAAGGAGTACGCTCTTTTCTTGAAGGTTTGAATCGAACCGGAAATAACGCAAATGATAAGTAAAAAGCAAATAAATGTGAATAATCCAAATTAATAAATATTAACAAACTAACCTAAGCATATGCATTATATTATTTTAAAAGCTGTTAATGTTTGACTCAATATCTATTATGACCCACTAATAGAAACTTCTGCTGAATGAAATATAAATATTCGGCTCCTCTTGCAGTAACAAATAGACAATTACCTCAATAATACATGTTCCTTTCACATATAGTTCTCCAGATTGATTTGGCCCGAGTGTTTTTTCATTTTCGTCGACGATCTAAAAAACGTAAAAAAAACTTAAGTTCAGCTTGTTAATATTTTAATTGTATTATATTATTTATTATAGTTCATTTCAAAGCCTATTAATAATTTTGTAACCTTAATATTATAAATAGGTATTGTTAAGAGTTTGTATGTTGGTTGCTATAGAATTTACCAGATTTATTTAATTTCAGTCAAATCTCAGAGGGACATGCTAAGCATTTATTCGTCGTTTGTGTTTATGGGTGTTTAACTAGCTAAAATATGTAAGCTGAACCGTTTAATATATTTAGTAAGGACTATCTAACGTTACAGACTTGTATTTGTATTGTACCTTGTAGTGCAAACAGTTGATGACCCATCCATTGACTCCTGTAGGGGTATCTTTGTCTGGTAGCGCAATGAACCCTTGGGACTCTGTACATCCGTAACCATTACATAATTGAGCTGTCTTTGGTAACTTTTCCTAGAAACAAAATAGTCATTTGATGCGATAGCCGAAATGAGGTCACTTTGGCCTTTAAACAATGGACACTATACAAAACTATAAGGTGCAATATAATAACAAACAGAAAAGGTATCAGATTGAAGTTTGAACATTTTTTTCACAACCAACCCGCTTAATGCTTGAGAATATTGGTATAAATTTTAGACAACCTCGTGACAGTTGCCTATACTTTACCTGAAGAAGATTGATAAGTTTAGGTGAGGCTGGTGCTCCAAGTAGGATCAATATCTCAAGAGATTTCAATTGATCAGGTCTAATTACTGGAGCTAGGGAGCTAGCAAAAGCTGGAGTGAGGAACGTCCAAGTAGGCTGCAATAATATTAAATATGTACAAATGTATCTATGTTTAGGATTATAAATTTTTCAGCTCTTATCAATAAGTATTTGTTCTCAACCTCTTTAACTTGTATAGCTATTATTATATCACCTTCATGCATCTGGCCTACTACCAATTAAATTTGGATAAGCGTAATGTGTAATCTTGCATGAGAATTTTTGCTAGATTATCCCCTGCGGGACGGTCGGAAGACCAGAAGATAGGAACAGTCGGGCCGCAGCCCGTCAGGCATGATCACCTCGCCTGGTCGGAGGATTCTCCCTTTGTGTTGAGGGACAGCCATCCGTTCTTCCACAACTGGAGCGCAAATCTCCCCTTCCGCTGATTCTGGGGAGAGGAAACTCAAAAGGGTGCAACGCACTTGTGGTTGGGCGGCAGTCACTTAACATCAGGTGATCCGTCTGCTCGTTTATCACCTTATGTCATAAAAAAACCGTATAGCCTAGATCTGGGACTAGCTTGCAAAGTCTGTCTTTATTAATATCCATGAGACGACCATAAGGGGACATGAACTGGCCTAATTTTACAATTAAAGTGGTTCAAATTCTATAATCTGTTGAAGTCAAGCACAGAAGTCTGCCAATTAAATATGTCTCTTACAGCTACTTCGATTCGAAATTCAAATTAAACTGTACTTTGATAGCTTCAGACTAGCAATTACTGCGAGCAAATTATCCAACACCTCGTTTTAGTAATTAGTATGTACTATTATCGTCCTGGACAACGACGCAATGAGCTGCCTTTATTTAATACTTTAATAACTTTAATCTTTCGAGTTTTCGCGTCTTATATAAACGTGAGTTTTAAGGTTGCAAGGTAATCGCTTCTTCCTGGAATCTCGTTAATTTTAAGAGTATTAATGCTAAATTAGAAAAGAGTTTTTATTAGAGATTATTTTTCGAACATTTTAGAGTGAAAAAGTGAACACCTATATTTAAATATTTCTCAAATTTAGCTAATTTGAATCTGACTTCTTGAAACAAGAGTAGTTTTACGTGTGCGGAAGAAAGTGACAGATTAGGAGGAATATAACTATATTTACATCTAATTCTTTGGCACATTCTACAGACTAAACTCATTATTATTATTAACGACTGCACGGATGGCGAAGTGGTTTAAGCGGTCGCCACGCCGCTTCCTACTACGCCGACTGTTGTAGGTTCAAACCTTACATGAGACGACACTTTGTGTGATCCACAAATTGTTGTTCTGAGTCTGGGTGTTCTTTGTGTCCGTTTCATGTATGTTTGTAAAATCCCCCGCGACACAGGATTGATTCCTAATGCGCGAGTTGTCTTTAAAAAAAAAAAAAACTAAGTCACTTGTACTTTTAGGTTTCTCCTCGCATCAGAGTAGTCGTCATATTTACAGCCTTTGAAAATGGCGTGTGTCGAAACCGCTCAGGTTTCAAAGGTATATATTGTGGTGCAGTACAAATGACTTGATTCAACTTTTTCCAAGTTATTATGTATTTCAGACTACCGGGTTCATCTCAGTTATTATCAGGATAATATTTTTTCCTTTTTTTTCAGTTAGTTTTTTAATACACTTGGATTTTATGGTTTTATTTAATAATGTATTGTTTGTTAGTGTGGCAATCGCCATATTGTTATGTAAAAAAGTGGACGATTTTTAAAATTGTCAGGGAACTTTCTGTATTAAAATGTTTGTTTTTACCCTGTACGTCTCCAACAACTTGGTCACGCTTTCCACCGTATTGATCCTAGGCGATATCAACACAGGGACGTGATAGACCACGCACGTTGTCAATGTCATCGTGAAGGTTGCCCATTGGATGCTGGTGAGGATCATCGCTAAGTTGGTTGGTGTTGGAAACTTGGTGTGGTAGTTCCTATCGAAAGTGTAATACGTTAAAATAAGAAAAAGTAATACCCGTACAAAGTTACAATTGTATATAGTAACTTAAATTTGTCTGAAAATTTATTTTTAATCGTAGCCATAGGCCGATGCTAAATGCTTAAAAGAATTTAAGCTGAGTTAAAAGCGTCACATTTATTTACCAAAAAAGTAAATGAAAAACTGTAGGCGGTATGGAAATGGTACGTTTTAAGATATAAAGGTCCTGTGGAAGGATTATCCGGATATAATTTATGAAGGTTACGCCTTAGGATTTACTGAACCTCTACTTTATAAATTTTACCTGCATTTACCGTGAAATAAAAACATTAAAATTTTATTCATCTAGAGATATTAAATTAACCAAATTTGATTAAAATACTAATAGATACGTATGAATGACATAAATCAACCGATATAAAAAAAGATAATACAAATTGTACCGCTCAGTCAGACTGATTGAAATAAGGAAATTTTAGTATTTGACACTCATAGACTGCCACAGCCAACTTGCTATTTATTTGTGCTGGACCGATGTAAATTGATGCTGCGACATATGCCCAGACATGTAAAAGAATTTTAAGTAATATTTTGCAAAGGAAAATTTAAAAAAAGCTGTATCGAAAACATTATTATATATCAAATAAAAGAGTTTTTTTAGAAGGTCTCTAATTATCTTCATGTCTCCAGTCATTCATATTATGTGTAGATTAGTATATAGTTATTTGTATGTAGATTAGTACATTGTAGTAGTACTGAAAATAAATCCTTACTTATCAGGAAAACGTAAAATAACTTTGTAATTCATCATAAGGAACCCTTTCCCTGATAGGTCAACTGACTATTGGTCTAGTTATTTACAGTTTAAATTTATCAGGAAATGCAAGAGATTAAACATTTTGTATTGGAACGAAGAAATCATTGTTATTTTGATGATAATTAAAACGCCATTTGAACTTCAACTAAACAACATTTCTATTAATTGGTATTGGTATCTTCGTTAAATTAAGCATGAAGGTTTTACTTACCAAATAGTAGGCAATTGTGCTATCATTCCAACATGTGACAGAGCAGCAGCTTTAGGTAGCCCGGTAGAACCACTTGTGGGTAATAACATTACTGTGTCAGCTGGTGAAGCGTTTGGTACCCTTAAAACAAGTTAGCAACTTAGTAATACTCATGTAGTCTAAGTCTTGAAGACAGTAAATTCTATAAATATTGCATAAAATACGTTACTGTTGATATTCTTCTAATATTAGATTAGATAGAGACTTAGTCCAGGTTTGACTCATATTTATATTTGAACGCTCACATTTTACAATAATGTTATAACGGTTTATCAAAATATTTCGATTCCTTGCTCATCCTTAAACACAGTTATCAGAATAAAATGAAGTCTATATATCAATCCAGGGTAATAGTTACCTCCATATCAAATTTTATCAAAATTAGTCCAGACGTTTAAGCGTGAAGAATAACAAACACACTCACAAACTATCGCCTTTTTAATATTAGTGTGATATTTGTCCTACTTACTTAATAGGGGATTAACGTCCACTGGTCACTTTAGGGATCAGATTGGAAGACTGGTAGTGTATTAAAAGGAATTACAATGGTAGGCAAAGGATATTGCTTAGGAGAAGCATTTGAAAAGCAAGCAAGAGCTCGAGCAAGTCAGGCTGTTGCCGGCAAATCCTAGGGTTATAACCATATAATACAACTCAACTCATTGTCAAGTTTAGTTATTCATTGGTTAGAACTTACCGATAGCTTTCTATATCGCCACTGTTGTCGCCAATAAATGTAATGAGATGTTGAGGCTCGTCAACGATAAATAGGGAAGGTTTTTTAAGATTCGCATTTTTGAGTGCTTCATGTAGAATCGTGTCATATTGACGATCGTAGAATATGTATGATGGTTCTATGAGTTTCAAGACGTTGGTTAACTCATCTAGAATGATAAGATAAAAATTATGTAATGTTTTCTGTATCTTGTCACCCTTCGAGTTCTCCCCCTGTTTTTTTTTTTTTCCTCCCTAGGATACCACCTGGAAATCCCCTAGGATACCACCTGTCGGTGGCATGTCGGACTCGAACCGACTAAAACCGCACGCCGTCTCGGGTACTAATAGCCGGGGAACCAGGTTCGAGTTCTCCCCTAAAACTAACTCATTCAGTGAAAAACAAGGAATGAATTGCTAACAAGTGGAGTGATACCAGGGCCTCACGGAAAGCTTCACATAGCTTTCCGTGAGGCCCTGGTATCACTCCGGTTGAGGCTGCCCACGTGTGCCAAAATGCGACTCTCCCACTCCACACCAGTAGGATAATGGGATGTCTGAATGGTTTGTTAGGACCTTATTACAAATAACATTAATTAGTTTTCGATACAAACAATATGCTAAGGCAAAAATATAATTGTCTATTTGTTTGAAGACATGAACTAATACATTGCCGAATATTATTATGAAATATTGTGTCTTCCAACGCTGTGTCGTTGATTATCAATCGGTCACAAACTCTTCTTATGAACTCATGTCAAGAAGGGAAGTAATATTATATTCTTTCAAATAAAAGTGGCGGTCTAAAGTGGTAACTAAAACATTTTGTTGACAGGTTCTCTGCCAGGGATAGGTTGCTCCTCGAATATTCGGTAAATTGTGTAGGACAAAAAATCTAGTGTCTTGTTACAAATTAATTTATCCCTCTCAAGTCCGCCTTGTGAATTTATTCAGACTATAATATATAATATTATATATAATTACTAATTGTCCTCTGGTTTAACAACAAAGAACGAGTAATTCATTTGTTTGAAAGGTATTGGCAGTCTGCCGAATTATTTGTGTCGAAATCTGTACTTCTAGAATATTTGTCCAACTACACAAAACTAAGCATTGAACATAATGGTCTCATCTAACCACTCTTACATTAAATAGAAATATAGCGATAGATAAAACGATAACACGGGTGCTAATGTTAGTATAATATAATAATGTAAACATTGTTATGAACATTTTGTTAGATAGACTTATTTTAGAGGCCATTTCAAGATAAACATGCAATCTGCAGCAGTCTGCGAACTAAGTAGTTGTACTCTTATTAATAGTATAATGAATGTGTACACAGCTTATCAAAACAGTGACTTATCTTTGTAATCATAGATAGATAAAGAAGTGCGGCATCTCTGTGGACGACTTAACTTGTTGATACCAGTAAAAAAAGTTACGAAATCGACAAAATCTTTCACTTGGCAATTTTGTTCCTACACTACAGTTTAATCTTATAACACAATATCTGATCTAAAATGCTTCAAAGTTTATGTTTTTTTTCCCAAAAATGCCTTGCAAGGTTTTTCAAATTACATTATTATTTGTTATATTTGAAGATATTGTCAGTACGTACAAGCTGTTGTGTTAGGGTCCGCGCAGAAGAACTCGATCCCGGAGAACATTGCAGCAAAGTACACATATGTCATACGATGATGGTTCCTCATGAGTAGCATCACGCGTTTTCCAATAGCACCATCGGCGATAAGTGCGCGTGCGAGTGAGACAGCATGCCTGAGAAGTTGTTCATTGGTAATAATTTCACCCGTAGCTCCATTAGTCTGGAAGAACAAAAATGTATGTTTCTATATTAGTATATTATTTTTATTATTACGATATAGACGTGAACCAGCAGATGGATCATCTGATGTTAAGTGTTTACCGTCTCTCATGGACATCTGCAACTCAGGAGCCACAAGGTCGTTGCCAGCCTTTGAGATAGGAGTAAGATCTTATCTTGAAGGTTTAGAGGTCATATCAGGCCGGAAATACTACAGACGACCATTTGTTCCAGAGATAAGTTGTAAAAAGCAAAGAGTTTCTGGAAAATTTCTTCATCTATCATTCAAGTGAATGAATTGATTTTGTAATTAATTTAAATAAAAGAGCAATCTTAATTCATATTAAACCATTGACATAATTTATATTGTAACTTAAATGTTAAATTCTGGTTTGATTTCTTTTTTAGTGACAAATAACTTGCCCAAAATTTTACAATCTTGTTTTTCATCTGATATCAGACATTTTGCATACGTCGCCAGTCGTGTCTACTTTCTTTCAATTATGCACCTAGGTCATTTAATAATATAAATTTTAATCTTTAAATTAATGTAATTTATTTAATCGGCTTCTTATTTTGAAAATAGAGATTTAATGCCTATACAAAATGTTGTGTCTCTACTCTTTTCTGTGTAAGAGTTCCCTCATATTGAGAGTATCCTGGCCTTCCCAGCCAAGGCAGACAAAATTAGCTGTGTATATTAAGTTTTATGCCCCTAGTGCTGACCATTGACAAGATTGGATTTAGCTACACATGACCGTGTGGTGACGGATTAAGAATACAAAGTGTCACCACAACTATTTATCCCGTGGGTGTGGTAAGAGCCGACTAAGAGAGAAAACTACTCAGAACAACAGCTCTGCAGAGAGAAGGAAAACTTGACACAAACCCTATATCAACCCAGCCAGCATGGTATAGTAGGCCAAAACCTTATTTCTAAGGAGAGGCCTATGTCCAGCAGTGGACTATTAAAGGCTGTTGATGTGATGATGATGTGAGGGAGCTACATTCAGGTATAGCTGAGTTGCGTGCGTAAAAGCGTAGCCACGCTGAGTTTGCATCCTCCCAGAATTTGGTTTATTTGGGCTCCGATAATTTACGCAGTGCAAGAATGTTTTGCTACTTTCTACTCTATGATATATCATAAGACATAATGTCACTAAAGTCAGATATGTCACTTTAGTGATCGAAAATTTCCCTGCGCATCCTGTACATCCAGATGCAAAAGATTTTGGTATTCTGATGTACAGAAGATCTGAAAATGTCTCGAAATACGGTGCGCTCAAATTTAATACATTATCTCGAAAAAATAATTTACAAATTTTGGTAAATATTTAGATTAATATTAGAAAACCGGGTTAAGTAGTGTGCAATTGAAAGAAGCAATAACACAAAGTAAATTAATAACAAAAGCAATAAACGAATAACTATCAATCAGCAGATATTTCATTGCCGTGATAAGAAAACAATCAACAAATAAAATAAACAGTCCTTTATCTTGGTGAAGGCTGGAGTCGTATGTTAGGGCGGTGGGTCACGAGTCACATACTTACTACTTTTATAACGCTATTGCATTGAGATGGACAACAAGATTTCATTACTTATTATTTATTACTTCATAACTTTCGGTTGATAACTTTTATTGCAAAATGTACAGGCCAAAAGTTCAGTGTCCTGAAGTGTAAATTGGAAAAGCTTATCCGTAAATTAAAATATCAGTAAATTTCAATTTTCAACGAATATTTTTGTAAAATTCCATTTTGTGTTAAAAAATATTATAACGAACTATTTAAAACGTAATTTATCACGGGTACTAAAGTCGTGACATTGTAAACTTAAAATAGGAACTAATACAAACCACTTCATTTTGGAACATGTTTTAAGGAAATTACATTTAACGTCCCTAAAACTTTAGATTTATAAAACAAAAAGTCAAATCAAAATCTTGCGAGGGGGATGTTTTTGAGCTTTGTAACATAAATTCAAATCAGTGAAGGTACCAAAATTGTTTAATTTTAGAAAATTAAAATTGATTGTGCACTATGCAATGTGAATACTCACCAAGAAAGTAGCGTCCAGGTTTCTCTTCAGACAGTGAAACATTAGCTGTGAGAGCGTTACCGTTGCTCTTTGCGCATTGTCAGGTTTGATTCCTTTCTCGAGCAGCACTTCATCTAGTACTCCGTCCAGGTACAACTGTGAGGCTGTCGGCTTCCCTCGCACCACAGTATGGGACATCTGATAAAGTAGAAATGGGTTTAATTTTTGTAGTCTTGTAAGAACAAAGAGAAGGAAAACTTGAAACAAACCCTATACCAACCCGTCTGGCCAGCGTGGTATAGTAGGCCAAAACCTCCTTTCTAAGGAGAGGCCTATGTCCAGCAGTGGACTAGTATAGGCTGTTGATGATGATGATGATGATGTAAGAACAGTGACATTTTCCTGAGGTAGTAACATATTTTTTTATGTGTATCATGACCTGCCAGGCCAAGGAACAAACGAGCCGACGGGTCTCCAAATAGCTCGAGAAAGAAGGAAGAAAGATTAATTGGGGTAAGGAAAAGCATAATAGTAGTATAATAAAAGAATAAGCGACGATAATGAGTATACAGCGAGTCTTATATAAATCTTGTATTGGTCTAAGACTGCAGAAATTCGCGAAGGCCGGATTGCATTAATGTACAACAGGAATATCAATATATTGAAATCATTGCAGTTGTTCCTATAGTATTCGAAGCGTTCCTTTTTTCCTATAGGATTACTCCAGGATCCTGTAATCAGATCTGGATCTGATGACATTCGTTCAATAGAGTAGTACGTCTTTTCAAACTAAAGAAAACAACTGTTCGAATTGGTTCTAGTTTTCAAGTAAAATCTTCAAAAAAATAAAAAATCCGACGAACTCAGAACCCTCATTAATGTTTCAAGTTGATTAACAAAGAATCTGCCGCTTTTTACATATTTTTTGTTCATAACTTATAATTATATTTACATGTGAGATCCATGCTTCGGGACCTCGAACAACGATATCTCATGTTCCCGTATTCATTTCGATAATAAAACCGGGTGTGATTTGCACGCAGAGTACACGTTTCCCTATCGTCGTCCCTATCCTCGTAATAGATATAAATATTTAATGGAACGAATAGCTGAGCATTTTAACTGTTATTTAAAGAAGTTTAAAGAAGTTTAAAGAAGGCAAAGCTGCAAATAGTAGTATAGTATTACAGTAGTAATTCATAGGAGGCAAAATTAAGAATCTGACTTACAATTTTTTTTTTGCGTTTAGTTATTGCGTTGCGTGCAAATTTTTACACAATTCACATTGCAGGTCCTTGAGATCATCAGAAAATCTGAAGTTAAAAATTCCCAGGCACACTACCCTTTTTACCGACAAGTCGTTCTCATTGCAAGCAATTTAACTGTGGAATAATCAACGGGAGGCAATCAGGCAAGTTAAATCACTGCAAATATTTTAAAAACTAGTCACACATCACTACTTGACATCAAGGACGTTATTACTCAACATATGACTCAAAAAGCAATTACAGTCGCCTATATTTTTTTTCGGAGAGAAAGAAGTTCCTTATTCCTTTTTTTTAGTTGTATATTGAGATCTTCCTATTTTTGAAGTCTGTTAAAACATGCCTATAAGTATAGCCTTATAGCTGAAAAAGCATAGTGTAATATTTATAAGTTATATTTTTGCAATTCGCCAACGGACTCCCATAAATAATTGGTTCTGTACAAATTGAAAACTACGTCATTTCATCGTATGCCAGCTACACAAGTATCGAATGATATTGAAAAACAAATGGCAAATAAGCCTTCACATAACCTATGCCCGAAGCCCGGCAGAGGCCTAATGGCCTGAAGTAAGACCCCCCGCACCCCGCGCGTAATACACTCCGTCCGAAAGAAATATTACACCCTCGGGCTTCACGTTTTTTGATACAGACGAAAAGTCTCTCGCGGGAACTATTTCATTTGTAAAAAGAACAAATATCTATGTTTTACATTTTATGTCTGTATATTTGTGAATTTCGACTGCCGCAACGAACAGTATCGATTCTGAAAAAAATCTTTTTTTTTTTATTGTACCAATCGATAGTGCATATAATATAGTTTTAGAAACAATAAAAACAATTTTGAAAATAAATGTATTTAAACAAGTTTTGAGTCGAATACAATCGATACTTGACACTTTCAGCTGCGAACATCATCGAATGTTACAAGTTCGATAGTGTTCGTATGTGTCGATACGCGCGCACACTCCGTAACTGCCTGAATCGTTAGTGTTCGCCGTTATGTGAGAGAGAAAGCGCGGGTTGTTTTCGTTTAGTTTTAAGAAGTTTATATTTCATAGTTTCGTTATTAGTGTTTTGTTATTTCTTATTATAAGTTTCAAAATGAATAGTCGAGGTAGATGTATGGTTGATTTAGTTAAAAAAAGAGAACAACATCAGAGTTGTGAAACCACACCCAACGATAAAAATTACGATCATACCGGTAAGCGTACATTTTCTTTACAATTTATTTATGTAATATTGAAAATATGTTTCATTTTAATGTCTAGTTCTTCGATCTTTTGAAATAACTAATAATTATGATTTACTCGTGTCCACATGGCGGTTAGCAAGTTAAACTATCGAGTGTGGTAGATTTAATAGTGTTCCAAGTGTACTTATTGTTGACAAATATAGAAAGTGGCATTTTCGATAGTATACGTGTACATTATAAGTAAGACATTTATCGAATGTGATACTTTCGATTGTATACTATGGAAAACATTTATCGAATCTACCAGTTATTATATTATTCTACGCTGAATACTTTTTAGATGAGATTTTTTTACATATTCGATTGTTTACAGTTTTCAGTTCACAAGCCGACGAAGACAAGACTAATGAGAGTCTGGCAAATGACTCCCACAATATTATACTTGACAGTGAAGAAGGTACAGCAATGCCTTCACCTCTCTCCTCAGAAGACCTTAATTTCGGATCACCACTGACTGAAGATCCTGTAGGGACGCCTACGGGATCTTCAGTCAGTTCAGTAAATGAAGAAAGTACGCCTGCACAGTTGCTCCTTTCCCAACGAGACCCTCTCATTGAAACAACGCCATCTGTAACTGACGACCCAGTAAACATCCCAAGTATAAGTTCACTGATTTCGACATCCTACCATGACTGCTGTATTACTCCTACTTTATCTACTTCACACAAGCGCATACCAACACACAAAACTGATCCTGGTCGTAAACGAAAACGACATGTCAAAGAGTGGGTTGATGTTCGTACAAAAATGTAGAATAATTCTGGGCAACAATATGTTTCAAAAAAAGGTAAAACCGTTCCAGCTAAAATCATTAAACCACCATGTCCTTATACCTGCAAGCTGCAATGCACTAAATAGTTTAGTGAAGAAATTCGAAAAAACATTTTTAATGAGTTTTGTCGGTTATCCGATCACACTAAGCAGTGGGAGTATATAAACAAATTTACTAAAAGATTCGATAAAAAAAGAATGACAACTGAAAAACCATCTAGAAGAAAATTTACTACAAAATATTACTTACCTTTGCCTGCGAATGATTCCACCTACGAGGCTCAGCAAGTGTGTTTGAAGATGTACTGTGGCACTCTTGCTATTACTGATCAAACAATTCGAACAGCACACAGCAAATTAGATGCTTGTGGAATTACTAGCAGTGACAATAGAGGGAAAAATGTAAATCACCCAAAAAAGGTGGACGACGAGATGATACGAAGTGTTACTTTAGTGTGACTTTAGTGTGACCACGTAAAGTCTTTTCAACCCGTTAAATCTCACTACATCAGAAAAAATACCAGTAAATTGTATTTAGACAACTCTTTGAGTTTCAATAAGATGTTTGCAATGTACAAAGATTGGTCTGAATTATCTAAATATAATAACAAAGCAGAGACTGAAAGACAATACCGAAATATTGTAAACGAGCACATAAACATTGCATTTTTTATTCCGAAAAAAGATTTGTGCGACAAGTGCCACGCGTTTAGCAACGAAATTCCATCCCACTGAAGAACACGTACAGGCTCATAACAAACACATTTCAAATAAGGAAACTGCAAGAATGTATAAAGCTAGAGATAAAGAAGAATCCATTCAAAGTGCATCAAAAATAGTTTGCGCTACATTCGACTTCCAGAAATTAGTGAACTACCCTTCTGGCGAAGTGTCTCTTTTTTATTATAAAATAAAGTTATCACGGATGCATTTGACAGTTTTCGACGCTGGGCTTAAAGAGGCTTCTTGCTATTTATGGCCACAAAATGTTGGTAAACGAGGAGCAAACGAGGTAAGGTAGTTGCTTGTTAGATTTCATTGAACGTAAGGTATCTAGAGATGCACTAGATATGAGGTTTTGGTCGGAAAACTGTAATGGACAAAATCGTAATAGAGTGTTATACAGTCTTTACTTGTTCGCAAGTAACAAATTTAATATTGATATAACTCATAGATTTCTGGAGTCTGGTCATACACAACAAGAAGCAGACGCCACTGTATTCAGATAGTTTGCCAATTCCGGAAGCTAAATATAAAGACTTAATGAGTCTTTGCGAAGCAGGTATACCTAAGCAATACCACACCTTTTTTAAAAATCTTAAAAGGTGTCAAATTGAAAATGTTTCGGGAAGTGATGAAGATACTAAGATATTAGAATTAAACAGCCTAAATAGATTTTTATGAAAGTACTTCTTTTTACATTTTTTTTATGAGCAATCAGCATTTGTTAGCATTTGTTTTTTGTTAAAAACCCAATGAAGGGATTTTTATTTAATTTTGTAATAATTACCTACGAGAACAAGACTGAACACATACGAGTAGGTACGTTAATTTTACATGGTAAGATTGTTTAATATTAATAAATGTGCCTTATTTAAAATACAAAACTTGTATTTAACTTTGGTACCTCCTCCTTCTTCTTCAAAAGGTAACTATTATAAAAAAAACACATATGAACCAACTATTGAAATGTATCAAAAGTTTAGATTCGTACATAGATTATTAAAGAACAATATCGAAACTGGTATATTCGATATTTTTTATAATTTTGTAAACCACGAATATTATGGAATCTGCCACTTTCGATGAAATTGCAGTTGATGACAACAAGGTATACCGTCGAATATGAAAAATATATAAAACACAAATAAAATATTTAAATCAGGTACAGGCAAACGAAAACACAT